TTGTTTGATCAATTAGCTTGATTAGGAAATGTGCAGGACCTTAGGATTCTCACAAACACGACAAATGACCATAGACCAGACCAGAGCTACACCGACAAAGGCAAGTGTAAACCTTGAGCCTATTCCTTCAACCTATCCAGAAGGTTAAGACCCTCAATATAACGCAAAAGCATCAGAACAACCCTGACTTATTTAAAAATCTACCAAGTGTAGTAAAAAGAAGTGGTCCTTCCATATCATGCCAAGATCCTAAATAACTGTCAAACTCCAACAAACAGCATATAGAGGGACCGAATTTCAACGAGAACACAACCGCAGACAACATGACGACATAACCGAACCCTAACTAAATCATTGGCTCGACGACCGGCACCACAATCAGCCATGGCTCGATGGCCGGGTCATCTAAGAGCAGAGGGGGAGAGAGAGGAGACGAGGGACTCACGAGAACCAACGGAGTCGCTGGATCAGCTCGACCGCCGACTACAAGTGGCTTGAATCAACTTCCCTCCCTCAGCTTGTGACTTCCAGGTTTTTCCCCTTTAGCTCCTGTCATATTCAAAGAAATTGCCATGTCAGATCTCTCTCTAATGAACACAGCACAAAACAAACAAAATATCAGCTATGTTCAAGGTAGATATAAACACTATTCTCTCAAGGTCTTTATTTTACAAACACAACACACACCTTAATCAGTCCAGTTTTCTTGTCAAGTTCATATTTCACTTTGTGATCTCAACATACTTGTTTGTTACGGAGAAGCAATTTTGTGTACCAGCAGACTAATGCATATTAATGTTGCGCAAGTATCAACTGGTCAACAAAATTTTGAAGTTAGTAGTGCATGGTGCTTCTTTTAGGATAGCTGGAAGGCCGTGTTGGCGGCAAAGCCACACGGCTGAAACCTGGTCGTAGGGTGTCCTCTTGATGTGAATGATTATGTGTTGTTTATCAGTTTCATGAGACATGAAATTGGGGCATAATGCTCCTTTCCTTGAAAATAATTTAACTCTAATGTTCTTTTGTGGTTGTGAGCAGCCATGGAGAAGAAGGCCAATGGGGCAAACTCAATATTGGTATTCCTTTTCATTCATACGGCCGTTTCGGATCACCTATATTCAACAGAAGTGGTCATCTTGTCGGGGTATGTCGTCAACCTATGGAGGCTTGGTCTGTGAACTTCCTACAACAAACTGTGTTTAGGGGGCCAGAGATGAGCATGTACTACTGATTCGCCCTTTATATACATGAATATAGTGTTACAGTGTCAAGTACAGAAGGCCATGAGTATAGATACACCATTTATATACATATAAATATAGATTCACCTATACCTGGCCATGGGAAGCCCGACCCGACACTGCCCCCGGGCCGGGCTCGGGCCTAGATTTTGAGCCCGAAGGTCGGGCCAGGCCTGGGCCCGCCGTATTTGCGTTTTTCTAAAGGTCAGGCCGGGCCGGGCCAGAGCTTGACGGGCTTTTACATGTTTGGGCCGGGCTCAGGCCTAGAAAACAGGCCCGATGGCCGGGCCAGGCCAGGCCCAGGCCTGAGTTTTTTGCGTCGGGCTTGGCTAGGCCCGGCCCGGCCCGAGGTATGACCAGGTATAGATTCACCATTTATATACTTGATCAGCAGGTACTATGTGATTCACCATTTATATTCACCACTTACCCGAAATACTGAAATTCAAATGGTTTCAAGTACAGAATGAGCACTGTATACGGTATACCTAGTTATTGTTGTATAGATTAATTCTATCTTGGTTTCAATAAATCTGGCAAGAACTTTTGCTTACATATTTCCTTATTCTCTTTTCTACAGTGTACTGGGTAGAGTTTCCTATGTGCTGAATGGAAACCCAATTCCGCGCAAAGTCCCAATTCTGCCCGAAGGATCAGTCCTGCCCGTCTAGGAGCAGCAGGCTGTAAGTACTACTTGAACAAATTTTCAATGTACAGTTCTTTTTTTGGTAACGATTTCAATGTACAGGTTGATAGGGGAAACTTTACCTGTTACTTTGTTACTTGTTGCTACCGATTCTTAATCCCAATAGTTGATTACTGTGCAGGGCAGAAGATAGCACCTCAGCAGCAGATGGAAAATATCAACATCCTCAGGCAGAGCTGCATAGGCAGTGGATTTAATCTCTTTTTGCAGCCTAGTGTATTTATCAGTTCAGTTGCTACTGTTGTTAAACTACCATCTGACTTGTCATTGCAGCCTAGTGTAGTCAGTTGATTTAATTCCTGTCGTTGAACTACCATAACTTATTTGCAGCCTAGCATAGTTAGTTGTTGAACTGTAATCTGATTTGCTGTGGCAGCATAATGTACTGGTGGATTTAGTTTCCGTTGCTGAACTATCATGTGCTTTCATGGAATTTTATCCTTGGAGGGAACGGTTTGTCTTATGCATTGAGTTTTTGTGTGTTCCCCTATTTGGGCAGGTGATATGAACTTAGAATAGTCTTTTCAACTTGTACCGTTGATGGCTAATTGTTGCTGATGACACAAACACATCAGGTTCTGCAAAAGAACTATTTCTGTTAGCCCTCTGTTCATACGCCATCAAGAACATCTATCTGATCTTAAGATAATGGCACTGGGCGACAGTACCTTCAAGACTAGATGCCACTCATATATCTGCTGCAATACCTGCGTGTACTCTGTTTCTACAAGTACAATCTACCTTCCTTCAGTTGCAGCAATTTGACATTTCACATTTGACAAAAAAAACTATCATATTCTTGTTTGTCACTGCTAGTGCAAACTTGCAGTACACAATCAAACCACGCAATACAACTTCAAGTAAATCACTGTGACTTATCCTGGGATTTAAACCGTCGACAACTCCTGAAAGTGTATGCACTATCTAGTACAGCAGCATGACGGTTACTACTACAGAATCATCTAAGAGAAAAAGTGGTGTGCCAGAGAACTTTGTATTCCGACCTAGGCGGTTTAGGCGCAAAGGTGTACATTACAACCAGAACTTTCCCTATCTTTATCTCATTCAAGGCCAACATTGGTCTAGAAAAGCTCCATCTACATTACACAACACATGCATGGGAAAACTTGCATCACTGTATGTAGCAATAATCGACAATCACAATTGCAATTAACGTATTTAAACATACAAGAATGTGAATACTTACTGTAGACCGTTGACGCGCCGTGCTTGGCAGTAACACACAGATCCTCGAATGTTAATATGAGGGTCTCGCCCATGAAGTATTCTCCGGAAGACGGATGCACAATTCTGCTCTCAGAGGCCTCACAAAAGAAGCATCTACCTGCTGGAATCATTTGGAAAGACAAAACTTCATCAATTTAAGTCAGACAAATGCCTATCTGAGTACAAATTACTCGAGATCGAGGCCGGGCCAGCTTACCGGGGTCTTCTTCATCGTAATGATCTATGGGGAGGCACTGAGGTGGCCTCGCTGAATCTCCTCCGTTTTGCAAACAAGGCGGGTACCAGAATTCGGCGAAGAACGGTTTAGCTGGTACATGGTCGTACAAGCTCACCGCTTTGGGCCCAATAAAACACTGAACTAACAAAAATGGCAGAAGAAACCCCACCGCTTTGAGCGCAATAAAACACATGCTGCCACAACCCCCCTGAGCTGAATCAATGAGCAATAACTCATTTTTCCATCACTGACAAAAGATTTCTCATGTAAAAGTTGAAACAAATCATTCATATGCTACTCTGGAGTGGGGTAGAGAAATAGCAATGCTACCTTATAAAACTCCTAACCTTGATATCTGAAATGAGCCGGTGAAAATGAAAATAAGAGGCAACTCGTTTGTGTAGATGAAAAGGCATGCCTGGAATTTGATTCTATTTTTAACAGGTATAGGCTGAAACCATTTGAAACACAAACCTTTGTATCATAAGCATGTTTTGCAGCCAAGAAAATAGCGGCTTGGGCGGAACTTGTGCTCACTCGATGAGGACGTCACTGCCACAGTTGCTCCGCTTGTCGACAAGAAGCCTAAGTACCTACTCATAAAGAAAAATAACTTCTTATTTTGATGCACTTAGCATAACAACCTGCACACCAACAGAAAGGTCCTCTCGGCGATCCTGCTTCCACCATGCTAACAATTTGTACATCACATACGAAGAGAAAGACAGGGGTACCAGAGCAGTTTGATTAATTTTCTTGCCCTGGTCGTCTTCTTGTTCTCAGCTTGCCGTTCTTTGCACGGAGATCTTCTACCTGCATTATCAAAACTATGTCCAGAACGAATCAATGAGTATGCCTTTCGACAAAATATAATAATCAGGCCAAAGAATAATAAAATCCCCAGTTACTCAGTTCACATATGCAACCATGCTTTCTTATAACTTCTACATGGAGTTATCAGATGAGATGTGAACCTGTCCTATGAAACACAAAAGAACAATGGTACTTATAATAAACATATATCAGCAACTATCCCTCATGTGACTGAAAAACAGAAGCAATTTAAATTCATGCTTGCCCTAGAATATTGAAATCCTTTTCTTGGCTTCTTACTGTCTTGCATACAACATCAAGCAGTCAATTAACTGAATGAATGATCAACACTGACAAAGGGGAAGAGTTGGAACACATCTATCTCATAGGAGCAGCTGCTCATCAGCTCCAAACAATAACACCGCAGGTCCAAAACAGCAGCTTGCAAATGTTCTAGTGATCATCACAAGTTCACAACTAACAAATCACAACAAAACAAGCATAACAAAGTTCTTATTTCTCTGACTTCTCTCACGAGTCATAAAAAGACACAACCGTGCATACATCACTCACAATACAAGATAAATTTCCAGAGTCCAGCACATGATAGAATAAACACGTCCATGAAGCTTAAACACTTGATAGATGATAACTTGACATCACAATGCATCACGCGACCTCCTGAATCATCGGTCATTTGATGCCAGAATTTGTAATTGCGTTGTCGAAACTAGCCTCCTCATCCTCCTGCACATAGTCCTTCACGGCTTAAGGCCTAAGCAATGCAATCGCCCTCCATCACCGTAAAGCTGGGTGTAAGCCACACGGGAGAAGGCCAGTTGGACCAAAGCTGAGGAGACACAAGGTCCTCCTTACTACAATTGCCCAAGTCAACTACTCCAATATCACGACGACTACTCTTACGGTTTTTATTGTACTCATCATCGTCAGTAAAGTAGGCATGATTTCCCTTGAGAGCAGGGTAATCTTTGGCACTCAGACAAAGTGGATCGTTGTGCCCAAGAAACAGCACATGGTCAGGCAAGCAATCAATTTCCACAAGCTTCCCTGTGCCATCATCAACTATGTGTAATTTGATTTCCGTAGTATGTGGTATTTCAGGGACACCATCTTCAGCAGGATCCTCAAACTCTTTAAATCTTGAAACAAGCAGCAGACCCCCCCATGGGGCCTCAACAATGTATATGGCATCGGGATAAAAATCCTCGTCAACCCCCCTGATAATCTTCATTGTAAAAGCAGGACCGTTAAGATCGAAGGCATGGATTTCTCCCTTTATATCCACCGCGTACAACAACCCATCCTTGTAGCAGTCCTGATAGTGATGGTGTGGTGGCAGCAAGGTCCACTTTTCATCCCCTACTCTTGCAAACGAGAGGTGATTGTATGGCTCGTGGATGAGCGCCACGATGTAGCTTCCTGTGGATGTATCATGAAACAAAAACGCCTTGATCTGGAGTTGTTCTCGCAGCTTACAGCGAGCGACGATCGATGGCGCGAAGAAAGCTCGTCTTGCAAAATGACTTGGGTATTCGTACTCGTGGACAGCACCCGAGTCATCAAAGATGGGCTTCACGTACTCCATGGTGGTCACTGAAGGAAGAGCAATCTGTTGACCAGTGATAGGATTGACGAGGTGCATTTCAGATATATCGTCGACGGTGATCACGAAACCGAGCGAGGACCCAATCAGAAACCTTCTGCGGAGAGGCGGCTCCGGGAGAGTCAACCTGTAAACCCTCTTCTCCACGAGGCTGTAGAGGCACGCAACATTGTCACCAGCAGATTCAGAGGTGTAGAGCAGGCACGGCGTCTGGGCCTGCTTGTGCTTGCCGAGGCTGCGCAGGGCGGCGTAGGCGGAGCGCCACGAGGTGCAGACGGAAGCAGCGCGTACAAGGTCGGGGATCTCGAGGGTGCCGAAGACGGTCATCAAGAGTTCCTCCGGTAGCTCCGGCGGTGTGCCCGCCGTAGTCTCTATCGGCACTGTATTCTTCAGTGAACTGGAAGAGAAACCTAGCAGCTTAGGTGAAATTCTCAAAGGCGGGAGAGCCAGGGAAAAGGAAGATGACTCACCGGAGGATGCCGACGTGAGAAGTATGGCTGGGCCTTGGGGAGGAGGAGCCCTGCCGCCGAGCGCCGCCGGCGCATCCCACGAGCGGCGTGTCCAGCGGCGTCGATTTGTTCCGTCCACGCTCCTGCTGGCCGGCGAAGGGGGGCGGTGGTGATGCGGGAGCCATATGAAGACTGCGCTTCTACCCTGCGGCGGCGGGAGCCTGGAGACGGCGGCGAGAGCCTGGAACGGAAGAGGCGGGTTGGAGATTTAGGGATCGGAGAACAGTTCTGTTTATCTATTTTATTATTATCTGTAGTGTACTTCTAATTCTACCCCTATTCAGCCTTTTATTATCTTATTAGTTTTATAAAAAAAAAACTTAGGTCTTGATGCATTGATAAACGGAAATGATAAATCTCGAACGTTCGAGATTTGATCATCACAAATCTATCCAAATGATAAGTATCACACGTGTGACAGAAGTAACATCGCCCTCATATTTTTATAACTAAAATTATCGTCCAAAAAGAAACTCAAAAAAACCTGAAACTTGTCATCCAAACAAAAAGTGCCACTTCACAACTAAAGTTGTCATTCTCAGATAACTAAAGTTGTCATCAAAAAACATTAAGACGGAATTGCTTCGTGCTAGACGATGTGGCACTTACTCAAATCTAACATTTTTATGGCATTTTTAGTGACGCGATGATCAAAGGTGAATCTACCTTGTGAGCTTTCCGCCCTTTTATACCAGGCTTGCATGTACTGCGTTGCCCCCGCTCAGCCCAAAGTATTTGCCCCCATTCCTTTTATTTTTCTCTAATATATTTCAAGCTGATGTATAAAAAATATAGATAGTTAGGGTATCTCCAACAGCAACCCGCAAATTTCCTCTCGCATCCATCCGCAGACAGGGGACCAGTCAGTGAACACAGATGCGGAAGGACGCCATCCAACCCTAGTTGCATACATTGCAAAATCTGTTCTAACAAATCGGGTGAAATTCAGTCAAACTGGACATATTTCATTCAAGATCTAATATAATTTACATAAACGGGCGATATTTCGACCGTTTTAGTAAAAATATTTAGAAAACACTAAACCCTATATCGGACGACCACCTCGTAAGCGTGGCCGCCCTATCCTACCGCACCGCCATCGGCGTCCGTGCCGCCGCCGCCATGGTCGTCCCTCCAGCGGCGCAAGGATGTTGGAGGTCCATGGCAGCCTTGTCCGGCGGCTGCCTGATGCTCGCGAAGGAGCCGCTCCGCCTCCTGTTGCGCGGTGCGAAGGGCCGTTGTGGCCACTGCCGAAGGCGCTGGCGGCGCCCTGTCGGTGGCCTTGCCCCTCTTGGCGTTAGCGGAGCAGTCGCTAAGCGCCCACTCCTCATTGATCTTGGCGAGCTCGCCGTCAAGGCGGCGGTGGCACCTGCGGCCGTCTCTGTGGTGGTGACGGAGCGGCCTAGCGCCCACATCGCAGCGAGGTCTTGGTCATTGCAGATCCATTCCGGCGCCACGTCCGTCTTGGCGAACATGAAGCAGCGATTGACATTCGCCGACGTACCTCGCATGCTGTCACGTCGCGCGCTCGGCCTCGGATACCACGGCTTGAGAGCCGGAGGCACCGGCGAAACCACCACCACCAAGGTATTGGAGGATGCGACCACGCGCCTTGGCGATCACGGGCGGCAGCTCCTCCTTCATCTGCCGGCGGTGGCATCATGGTGGCGACGAGGGCCCGTCGATCCGCGCGTAGCGGCTTTACGGCGGGGGCGACGCCGGCTCGTCCTTCACGCGGCGGATGCGCTAGGGGGGTGCCGGCTCCTGCTTCACGCAAGCCCCAATGTGGAGGTTGCGCTTGCACAGAGGGAACGTCGGCTCGTCCTTCACTTGCCGGAGTGGGGATGAGGACTCCTGCTTAATGCGGACCCATGGAGGGGACGGTGGCTCCTCCTTCACGCGCGCCGGCGATGGTGGAGCTGGACCCATCTAACAGAGTGAACGCTCCATCATGATCTCCATCTAACGGACGAATTTTTCATCCACCAGAGCCGCCTTCGAGAGGAGACCAGGCCGCTGTTGCGGCTGGTCCTCCTCGTCGTCGGGGGAGATGACTATTTCCTCCTTGCCAGAGGAGCCCGACACCGTGGATGTGGATGGTCCAAGTGAGCGAGGGTGGCGACGCCATGATCCGCTTAACGACGAACTGCCATCGTGGCCGTCGGTTGGCGCATAGAACCAGGACTTCGACATCCCCACTGGGCTCGGAGAGGAGGAAGGGCTCAGCGAGGGGGGGGGGAGGACACTCGGGATGATGCGGTTCTGGATGGCGTCGGAGCGCGGCTTAAATAGCTGCGCCCAGGCCAGGCGGAGGGGCAGTCAGCCCGCTTCAATGCGGCTCAACGGCCGGAGTTGGTTTCTCCGGACGTGATACGTCTTCAACGTATCTATAATTTTTGATTTTTCCATGCTATTATATTACCCCTTTTGGATGTTTATGGTTTTATTTTACACATTTATATCATTTTTGGGACTAACCTACTAACCGAAGGCCCAACCCGTATTGCTGTTTTTTTTGCCTATTTCAGTATTTCAAAGAAAAGGAATATCAAACGGAGCCCAAACGGAATGAAACCTTCGGGAGCGTGATTTTTGGAACGAACGTGATCTAGAGGACTTGGAGTGCAAGTCAAGAAGCAGCCGAGGCGGCCACGACAGGGTAGGGCGCCCCCCCATAGGGCGCGCCCCCTATCTCGTGGGCCCCTCGGGCGGCCACCGACGTACTTCTTCCTGATATATAAGCCTACGTACCCCGAAAACATCCAGGGAGCCAACAAAACACAATTTCCACCGCCGTAACCTTATGTATCCGCGAGATCCCATCTTGGAGCCTTCGCCGGCGCTCCACCGGAGGGGGAATCGACCAGAGAGGGCTTCTACATCAACACCATAGCCCCTCCGATGAGTTGTGAGTAGGTTACCACAGACCTACGGGTCCATAGTTATTAGCTCGATGGCTTCTTCTCTCCTTTTAGATCTCAATACAATGTTCTCCCCCTCTCATGTGGAGATCTATTCGATGTAAACTCTTTTTGCGGTGTGTTTGTCGAGATCCGATGAATTGTGGGTTTATGATCAAGTTTATCTATGAGAAAATTTTTGAATCTCCTCTGAATTCTTTTATGTATGATTGAGTTATCTTTGCAAGTCTCTTTGAATTATCAGTTTGGTTTGGCCTACTAGATTGATCTTTCTTGCCATGGGAGAAGTGCTTAGCTTTGGGTTCAATCTTGCGGTGTCCTTACCCAGTGATAGCAGGGGTTGCAAGGCACGTATTGTATTATTGCCATCGAGGATAAAAAGATGGGGTTTATATCATATTGCATGAGTTTATCCCTCTACATCATGTCATCTTGCTTAAGGCGTTACTCTGTTCTTATGAACATAATACTCTAGATGAAAGCAGGAGTCGGTCGATGTGTGGAGTAATAGTATTAGATGCAGGCAGGAGTCGGTCTACTTGTTGCGGATCTGATGCCTATATACATGATCATGCCTAGATAATCTCATAATTATTCGCTTTTCTATCAATTGCTCGACAGTAATTTATTCACCCACCGTAATACTTATGCTATCTTGAGAGAAGCCTCTAGTGAAACCTATGCCCCCCGTGTCTATCTCTTATCATATTTGCTTCCAATCTACTTTTATTTGCATCTTTACTTTTTGCATCTATATTATAAAATACCAAAAATATATTTATCTTATCATACTATCTCTATTAGATATCACTTTCGCAAGTGGTCGTGAAGGGTTTGACAACCCTTTATTGCGTTGGTTGCAAGTTCTTTGTTTGTTTGTGTAGGTGCGTGGGACTTTTGAGGAGCCTCCTACTGGATTGATACCTTGGTTCTCAAAAACTGAGGGAAATACTTACGCTACTATTGCTGCATCACCCTTTCCTCTTCAAGGAAAACCAACGCAAGCTCAAGACGTAGCAAGAAGGATTTCTGGCACCGTTGCCGGGGAGGTCTTCGCTCAAGTCAAGACATACCAAGTACCCATCTCCCTCGCATTTACATTATTTGCCATTTGCCTCTCGTTTTCCTCTCCCCCACTTCACCCTTGCCATTTTATTTTCCCTCTCTTTCCCAATCTCTCTCTCTCTCTTTCGTTTGCCTTTTTCTGTTTGCTTGTGTGTTGGATTACTTGTTGCCATGGCGCAAGATAATACCAAATTGTGTGATTTCTCCAATACCAATAATAATGATTTCCTTAGTACTCCGATTGCTCCTCTTAATGATGTTGAGTCTTGTGAAATCAATACTGCTTTGCTGAATCTTGTTATGAAAGATCAATTCGCCGGCCTTCCTAGTGAAGATGCCGCTACTCATCTAAACAACTTTGTTGATTTGTGTGATATGAAAAAGAAGAAAGATACGGATAACAATATTGCTAAATTGAAGTTATTTCCGTTTTCACTTAGAGATCGTGCTAAAGTTTGGTTTTCGTCTTTGCCTAAAAATAGTATTAATTCTTGGAACAAGTGCAAAGATGCTTTTATCTCTAAATATTTTCCTCCCGCTAAGATTATCAGTCTTAGGAACGATATTATGAATTTTAGACAACTTGATCATGAGCATGTTGCCCAACCTTGGGAAAGAATGAAATTGATGATTCGCAATTGCCCTACTCATGGTTTGAATTTATGGATGATCATACAAAAATTTTATGCCGGTTTGAACTTTGCTTCTAGAAATCTCTTAGACTCGACCGCGGGAGGCACATTTTATGGAAATCACGTTAGGAGATTCTACAAAACTTCTTGATAATATTATTGCTAATTATTCTCAATGGCACACCGAAAGATCTTCTAGTAAAAAAGTGCATGCTATAAAAGAAATCAATGTTTTGAGTGGAAAGATGGATGAACTTATGAAATTGTTTGCTACTAAGAATATTCCTCTTGATCCCAATGATATGCCTTTGTCTACTTTGATTGAGAATAATAATGAATCTATGGATGTCAATTTTGTTGGTAGGAATAGTTTTGGAAACAATGCTTATAGAGGAAACTTTAATGCTAGACCGTTCCCTAGTAATTCCTCTAATAATTATGGAAATTCCTACAATAATTATTATGGTAACTTTAATAAGATGCCCTCTGATTTTGAGAATAGTGTGA